TAACTTGTAATTATATTTGCTCTTAACCTCTAAACTAAAACGCAGCATCTCCGTAACACTCCAGAATGGAACACAATAGCATCAGTTTTATAAATTTTTGCATTTCGTAAAGACATTGGATTTAAAATTAAAGCTTTATGACTAGAGCTTGTCAAGTTACGGTATTGGAAGTGAGATATATGGTTGTAATAACATGAAGCTATCTTATGGGATAAAATTATTAAGTGATTCACATCACCAGCATGCCATTAAAATCGATGTTTATACTTTTGGAGATTTAGTATTTCTAATACTAAAAGAAATTAATGCTGTGGTTTTAATAAATTTCTAAAGTATACTCGTACTTTCAAACTTAAAATCTGATAAATTATACAATGATTATTAAAAGGTGTATTGTTACAAAATACTTTCAGATATTATATAACTAAATCGTAACTACGATACTACTACCAAAACAAACATGAAAGCTTTGAAGTATGAGGCTTTGCGAGTATAATATTTTTCCCACAATTTCTAACGTTGTTTCATTTCTATTCTTCTTTCTGACCTAAATATTTTAGGTCTGATATTTTATGTATTTGTCGTTCCGAAATCTTGGTTGTCATATTTTCTTAAAATTTAATGTTAACCACAGAAGGAAATTGCATGATACGATATCGTCCTCCAGACCTAATTTCAGTCACGGCAGCCAGTCCTAAAGGAGACTAGATATCTGTTGGAACGGTAATCTGACACGACCAGGTATTTTCAATGAGAAACATAACACCACCATCATCATTACAGTCCATCACAAGTACATTGCCGAATATAGATATCCTTCAAAGAATGCACCTACGCACGGTCCTGAGTCATTTACACCCATCGACTTCCTGGATTTCTTATTAAGTTGTCACTTAATAAAGTGAGAACTGCTTTAAGAAAAATGTAATTGCTTGCTATTTGTAATGTTGTATTCCAAAAAAGATGATATTTAAAGAGTCGTGTTATTTAGAGCAGTTAATCTTTTTTCTGAATTGAGCTTCTCCCGTCGTAGGGTAGATTTGCCATACTCTGTGTCCAATGCATCATGAAAAATCTGTGAGATTTTTATGATACTTTTTTTAAGTCGATGGAGGATGCTGATGGCCCGTTTTCCTGTAGTTTGTTGTGTTGGTAAAGTAAAGTTACAGCCTATATACGTCCCACTGCTGGGCTCAGGCCTCCCCTCATTTCTGAGAGGGTTTTAGGGCAAGGAAGTGTCCGCCGCGCTGCCCAAATGCGTGTTGACGAACTTCACATGTCTTCGAAATATTTTTTTTCTTATTCCTCAGACATGCAGGTTTCCTCACGATGTTTTCCTTCACCGCCGAGCACGTGGTAAATCAGCACTTAAAATTGCAATTAACAATTTCATTGGTGCCGGCGGGGATCGAACCCGGGTTACTCGCGTTCTGTTATATTTACAGCGAGCGTTAACCACTGAGCTACCACGGCTCTCATTGTGTTGGTAATTCATAATATTACTATTATATAATTTATTTATATAAATATTATCATGCATACATTATCTTATACATAATATTATAATATATGACAATAATTTGTATGCATAGTCCGTGTGCGTTGGCAAGGCAAATCTATTTATTCCCTTTTCTCTAGTTATTCATGTCTTTGTTATTAATATGAATACATTGAACTAAAACCGAAACTTTTTCCCATTTTCTTACACCTATACAGCACTACTAAACGTACAATAAAGTTAGAACCCATGGACGTATGCAGCGGGAGCTGTTTAATTACTTACACCTGTACGGCACTACTAAACGTACAATAAAGTCAGAACCCATGGACTTATGTAGAGGGTGCTGTTTAATTACTTACACCTGTACAGCACTACTAAATGTACAATAAAGTCAGAACCCATGGACTTATGTAGAGGGTGCTGTTTAATAACTTACACCTGTACAGCACTACTAAATGTACAATAAAGTCAGAACCCATGGACTTATGTAGAGGGTGCTGTTTAATTACTTACACCTGTACAGCACTACTAAATGTACAATAAAGTCAGAACCTATGGACGTATGTAGAGGGTGCTGTTTAATTACTTACACCTGTACAGCACTACTAAATGTACAATAAAGTCAGAACCCATGGACGTATGTAGAGGGTGCTGTTTAATTACTTACACCTGTACAGCACTACTAAATGTACAATAAAGTCAGAACCTATGGACTTATGTAGAGGGTGCTGTTTAATAACTTACACCTGTACAGCACTACTAAATGTACAATAAAGTCAGAACCTATGGACGTATGTAGAGGGTGCTGTTTAATTACTTACACCTGTACAGCACTACTAAATGTACAATAAAGTCAGAACCTATGGACGTATGTAGAGGGTGCTGTTTAATTACTTACACCTATACAGCACTACTAAATGTACAATAAAGTCAGAACCCATGGACTTATGTAGAGGGTGCTGTTTAATTACTTACACCTGTACAGCACTACTAAATGTACAATAAAGTCAGAACCCATGGACTTATGTAGAGGGTGCTGTTTAATTACTTACACCTGTACAGCACTACTAAATGTACAATAAAGTCAGAACCCATGGACTTATGTAGAAGGTGCTGTTTAATTACTTACACCTATACAGCACTACTAAATGTACAATAAAGTCAGAACCCATGGACTTATGTAGAGGGTGCTGTTTAATTACTTACACCTGTACAGCACTACTAAATGTACAATAAAGTCAGAACCCATGGACTTATGTAGAGGGTGCTGTTTAATTACTTACACCTGTACAGCACTACTAAACATACAATAAAGTCAGAACCCACGCAGCGACAAATTTGATTTTTATTTTCAAGAATGTGTTAATGATAAGCAGACGATAAACAAAATTTATAAAAAAACATGATTTTTTAACAGTTCCGGTAAAAATTGAAGTCGGTTAATATTTTATAACATAATAATATTTCACAATATTTTTATTTTATTACATGTATAAAGGATACAATATTAACTTAGCTGGCAATTATTAGTTACTAGTTATATGAAACTATAATATTATTTTCTTTTCCAGTAACCGCGACTACTTAAACTAAAGCAATGAGTTCCAAATGCTGCTATTACCGACTACAACAGTTCGACAAATTTTCTTATGCAATAAAATCACTTACTACTGCTGCTTAAAAATGCAAAGTAAAGTAACAACTTTACAACGTCTCACATGTTACACATATAAAAATTATTCAATTTCAAAAGTAAAGGAACATACTACTCACAGCTGGAATTAGGCTAAAAAAGCTTTTCAAGCTCATATTTACTCAAAGGCCTTTAAACACCAAAGAAATTGTTAATTGCAATTTTAAAGGGCTATTTTGTGAAGGCAAACATCATGAGGGAGCTTATGTGGCTAATAAATAAAATAATTGGATGAAATGTGAAGTCCAACAACACGTAGTTGAGCATCACGGCAGACTTATTGCACCACGACTCCCAAGAATGAGAGGAGGCGAGTGCCCAGCTGTGGGACGTAATAAGACCGTACTTATAATTTACTTAATTTATGTATAAATTATTCACACACAAATAAAGAAAAATATATGTGAAAAAATAAATGAAATCACTGATAGAACTCTTAATTAAGTTATTATTTCCAGTAACCTTCGAGTCTTCGATAATTTTTCTCTCTTTCAATCTAATCAGAACATTGTGAAAATAAACGCGAATTAGAAGAGAGCGTTGTCTAATACTTCTATTGATAGTTTTAATCTCGATGTCACTAATAAGATTAAATTAGAAAATCCAAAAGTGCATGTCTCATAAGCGTTTTTATTTTTTTCATTGAAATTTAATTAAATTATGATAAAAAATAATTACTAATTACTTAACAAAAAAAATTGTTGTCACAAATCTGCATAGCTTACGTTAGGCTGCGTCCACGTACTGACCCACCACAAAAGTCTTGTAAAGTGAACGATGTATCTCCTCTGATACGTATAAACCATCGTTCGTCTAAAAGCAAATGGCACGCCAAATAACAACTGTGCCAAAGTCATTCGTTAGTACAATACTTGATAGATTGTAAAAATTATTTTATCCCCGCGTTTGTATTTGAGTTTGTTTGAAAACGCTGCACTGTTACTTTTGTATTAATAAATAGTTCACTTTAAATTAAAACAAAACAATGAAATAACGTTTATTTAAATTGTTAGGTAACTGGTGGCAATAGCGTGATAGATTAGTGTATCCAGTTAAATAATCTTGAGTTCATAACTCACTAAATAAAAAACACTAATTTTAATTTTAGTAGAAGTGTTAATTCCTTTCGCTTCCATGTCTCTACCGATACACTGTTTCTTTTTGTTCATTCATATGATATTTAGCTTAAAATAGACCTAAAAAGTTTGCTTGTATAATATAATGTGCACGAGAAACATTGCCAATGTGAAGTTAATACAGCTAGATGAAAACGAGAAATAAATTAAATGAAATTATATTATAATTTGTGATAGATTACCACGCCCTTAATTTAAACATTATTTTAATAGCGACAAACTAACTAGCTGCTCACAAACGAGGCAGCTGCTAATGACCGCAAAAGTCAGCTTATATTAGGAACTGTTTATTGCAGGTGTTAGACTGGCTGCCGGAAGTCCTTAGAGATACGAAATGATATTGAATGACCACCGTCCACCGTGTAGTGGCGGTGTGAGAACATCCACTGCTCCGTGAGAGGCGACGGAGGGAAACAATACAGGAGATGGATAGCAGCTTCCTCCTAATAACGACTAAAAATAAAATAATGTGATTGTCGACACGTTCAACTAGCGTGACACTGTGACAAATATACCCGCTATTATGCAATCTATGTCGGAGGCCCATGTTCAGCAGTGGACTTTAATAGCCCGTGACGGGTAACTACGAATTTGCTTTACGGTTCAAAACTTATATTTAATCTATCATTGGTAAGTATGACTATTATCGAGTTAGATGAAGATTCACATCATGTCATCTGGTCCAGCTGATGGCAACCTGTATCACAGGTAGTTATAACTGAATCATATTAACTGTTCGTGACGTTACAAACGTAGCAAACTAGCGAATATTTTTGTTCTTATGTTTGTAGCTAACACTTCTTTCCATGCATTCATTTTCGTATAAGAGGAGAAATAGATTGGTCCCACGTAAGTAACGTATGCGATGCAACGCTCCTACTTTGTTATACACACTTGTCCCACTTGTGAAACGTACGTTTGGTGTCTGGCACTCTTGTCACTTCTTAACAGACGCACGTTAATAACATTTTTAATAGGATAAGGGTGATAAACGAGCACACAGTTCACCTGATGGAAAGTGGTTGCTATGACTCATAGACATCTAAAATAAAATAAATAAATAAAAGCGTTAGAACAAAAGAACGTATACCTTGAGAAATGCAATGCTGCATTAGATGAAAGAGTTGTTAGCTTGGAGAAGAAGGAAAAAGAAAAAAATGTTGAAATTGCATGCCTAATGAAGAACAAAGATAATGAAAATATAAAAGAGGTAGTCAAAGATGTTGCCATAAAGCTTAGTTTGAACCCAAAAGATATAGAAAGTGTCGAAAGAAGGAGCCCAACAACAACAACCACAACAAAGACGAGGATAGAACGACCAAGCCCAGTTATAGTGAAGCTGCGGTCAAAGCAAGCTCGAGATCAATGGATGCAAAAAAGAAGAGTTCAACTAACCAATGGCGATGTATATGGCAACGACAACAACATGCGTATATACATAAATGAAGATTTAACCACAGAGACCAGAGTACTATTCTGGGAAGCCAGGAATCAATTAAAGCAATTATATAAATTCATATGGACTCAAAACTCTATTAGTCAAGAAAAGCGAGAAGGAAAAAATTATTCGCATAAGAACAGAAAGCGATATTAAAGTCTTGCGCGAAAAACATAATAAGAACGAACAATAATTTAATCAATAATAACAAAAACTATATGGACCGCGTAACACACTATGTGATTTCAAGAACTTTAAAATTCGATAACCAAGACAGTGAATTTGATTTAAATGACATTGCATACACTAGATATCAGGATATAAACACCTGGTCTCAACAATTCTCGAATAATAATGTAAATATAATTCATCTGAACATACGTTCTGTACGAAAACAATTCAACCAACTTCTTGCTTTATTATGCCACTGTATAACAAAAAGAACGCTAAATGTCATCATTCTCACAGAAGTAAACATAAAAAGCGAAGAAGTATCACTATATAAGATCCCTGTTTATGTGGTGTATTCTAACACTAGGGAGACAAGAGGAGGCGGTGGGATACTCATATTCGTGAGAGATGACTTATATTTTACCACAGAAAAACCACAAATACCAATAAAAGCAACAGAGATAATTCATGGAAAACTAAAAACTGGAAGTAAAACTACACATATATTGGCTATATACAGACCACCAAACTCAAATAAGTTAGTTTTTATCACAGAACTGGATACCATACTGAAAAATATCCCATCCTCAGAAGAAATAATTTTAATTGGAGATACCAACATTGACATATCGCAAGGTGCAAATGCGAATTTATTTGCCTACAAAAACATGTTGTGTGAAAACGGCCTACAGAGTGCAATACCTACGTCAGAGATAACGCGCGAAGCGATCGTGGATGGCCGAGTGAATTCCTCGAATATTGACCACGTGTGCGTGCGGGCGAGCCGCGGCCAGCTGCTAGACGCGTGCGCGCACTTGCTAACTTGTACCGTATCGGATCACTATATGGTTGGAATTAGCGTAAAAATAACTGGGAATGTATCCAACATTAATAATAATTGTAAATTACAAACCATATTAGACGAAAAAATGGTATGCAATAGTTTAAAAACAATTGATTGGTCTGATGTCATGGAAACGAGTTGTCCTAACTTATTGTATGAAAAATTACATAGGGTTTTTATAGATATATATGATAAGTGTAAGTTACAGAAAACACCAAAGAAAAAGAGAATTACGCAACCATGGGTTAATAAAGAACTATGTAAAATGATAGAACATAGGGACTTACTGTTCAGAGTTTGGAAATCATCCCCTAAGAATATGAATAAAAGACTAATGTATACGAGATTTAGAAATAAGGTTAATAAATTAATAGATAAAGCTAAGAATAAATACAGGCAGAATGAGATACAAAAATGTAATAATGATTTTAGAAAAATATGGTGTAACATAAACAAATGGATAGGCAAGCATAAACCGGGTTTAGATGACGTTATTTTAAAATATTTAGGCCAAACTAGCAGTGTGTATAATATTTGCAATAAGTTCTCTGAAACGTTCACAGGGGAAGTACAGAAAATAAAGCATAACTGTGATAAAATTTTTTTTGGATAGAATTTCATATGTAAAACCAAGTGATAAGTCTTTTTACTTTAAAAAGGTAGGAGCGTATACGATAGAAAAATATATAAATAATTTAGATTTTAATAAAGCACCGGGTTTAGACAAAATTAGAGTACAAGATATAAAGCAGGTAAAGAAAGAAATAAGCCCAGTATTAGCTAAATTGATAAATATGAGTGTGGGTGGGGGAGTTTACCCGGATATATTAAAAAAAAGCAATAATACGACCAATATATAAACAGGGGAGCCACACGGACTATAGTAACTATAGACCAATTGCTATATTACCGGTAATAAATAAAATAGTAGAAAAAGTAATAGTGAATCAGATAAGTTGTTACTTAGAGCAATATAACATTATATCAGATGCGCAGCACGGGTTCCGTCGCGGACGCAGCACGGACACTGCACTTGCGCAATTCACCGACTACATCAACAACAATCTCAATGAGGTTTCTCAAGTTTGTCGCTGCTCTTTTTATTGATTATAAAAAGGCATTCGACACCCTGGAAAACGAGGTACTACTGCGTGCGATGGATGAATGTGGTATCAGAGGTCCCGTCAACCAATGGTTTAAATGCTATTTGCAAAATAGATCCTTATGTACATTGGTAGACGGAGTAACAGGGGACGATATAAGCGTGAGTCTTGGAGTACCAACCGGATCGGTTATCGGTCCAGTTGGGTACATTATGCATGTTAATAGTGTCATTAATGTAATAAAGCATTGTAAAACGGTTATGTATGCAGACGACATGTGCCTAATGTACTCAACCAATAACATGAGTGATGCACAAAAATACATACAGGAGGACTTCGAAAACATAATTAAATGGGCACATGATAACGGTGTAACTATAAATTTATCCAAAACAAAGGCTATGTATATAAGTTCACCCCACAGTAACGACTTTAAGCAAGGTAAATTAAACATAAATATAATTGGTCATACATACGAGTGTCTACACCTCAATAAAGCTGGCTGCCAGTGCACAAACATAGATGTAGTAGATAAACACCGATACTTAGGCCTAACAGCAGATAGTAATATGAACTGGAAACTGCACGTCAATGGTGTGTGTAATAAATTGCAATCAAAACTTGGTAGATTCTTTCACTTAAGCAATTTCATGAATCGAAAAGTCTTGTATGTACTGTATTATGCACTGGCTGACTCGGTAATCAATTATGGATTGAGCAGTTATGGGCTAATATTCAAAACACAGTTAGTACGTATAAAACATTTACAGATTAGACTACTTAAGTATTTAGTGAGTAAAAAAGTAAAATTACAGTGTAAAAAAAATTATGACAAATTATTTAATATATGTAAAATAATTCCAGTGCATCAAAAGGTAGATTACCTAATTGCTTTAGAACAATATAAAATAAATAAAGTTAAACAACCTATAACGCATAAATATCGTACCAGGCAAGTTGAGAAGGGTAAATATGTGATACCACATATGAGAAACTATTATGGTAAGAAAACTAGGCAATATTTAACTCCGATAATATATAATAGAATAGATTTTAGTAACATTAAAGAAAAGACTGAAAAATACATTCCTATGAAAATTATAATGTACTACCTATAATAAGTATTAATTAAAGATAGAGATATTTATTGTAATAAATATACCTAAAATAAGTATGTATGTAACAAAAAATACATATTAATATATAACAAAAGAGCGCCATTATCGCCAACAAACTGTTGCACAGTTTGGCAATGTTTATTATTATTTTAAATCTGTGTATTTTATATGAATAAAGATTTAAAAAAAAAATTTATCTTTGATTATATATATAGTCTTCGTCTTACTTACCACTCTTCTTCATATCGTCTTTTGATTATATATAGTAGATAGTCTCGAGAAGAATTTCACCCCCCTTTCCAAACTAGAATACGCTGGGCAGCCTGAGCACCCATGCTCAGGAAGACTAGGGTAGCTTGGGCGTGGATGCTCAGAGAGAGATTCTCCGTCACTGGAGGTGTTGGTACCCTCCTGGGGTAGTGTTTTATTTAACTTCGCTACCATGTTAAGGGGGGGGGGGAATAGGGCCTCCGGCCACCTGCACTCGCTAGACGAAATGCCGAAGCAGAGCTTTTACTTCACGCTGGTTTTCTGTGAGGTTGTGGTACCACCCCGGTTCGAGATGGCCCATACGTGCAAAGCAAAGCCTGCCGCGTGGCTCTAACACTATCAAAATCTATAATTAGGTGTGGCCTTAGTCGATGTGTGAAGCATCTCATATGTAGATATATCTATATGCTTCAAAGAAATATTCTATAGATTTTTATCACTATTTGCAATTGATATTAATTTCTGGAAGAAGTTCTTAAAAATGTCTGTTTTTGCTTCTAAAGCAAGTAATATACGACTTCGAGAGCTACGATTGGTTTTGAACGATTGATTCTGAACAATCACTTATTTGAGATAGAACTTTATTACTTTGGCAATATCATTCGTACAAGTTGATCCGATGAATTAGTTGTATTAAGGCAATGAAATGAGTTTACTGAGTGCGCTCTAGTATAATTACACAAAACAAGAACTTTGACGATCGTAGCTTCTGAACGTAGCTATAACTGTTCATATTAAGTCGACGCATATTTTTTTTTTCATTTTGATATGAAAATAAAAATGAAAAATAATTTATTTGATAGTTATCACTAACCAAATAATTCAGCAGTGGTTCCACATTAGGTGCGAAGACCTGTATCGCGAGAGCCACAATTATATCATATAATAAAAACGGAATTAGTGCACGGCACACGGCAGACTTTAAAAAGTTTTCCCTTACTTTAAATATCTTCCTAATTTTATTTATATACAGAAAAACTTGTATAATTTAATAATATTGATATTTCTTTGTCTTTTAAAGAGTCTGTCGTGGTTATCGATGTATAACTACTCTCTACTCAATTTTATCCCGTGTGTCTCATAAGTGACGACTATGGGAAAGGCCTTAAAGATCTCAACCTTCATTAATAACGCATAGTCCACCTGATGGCAAATGGATGCTGCGATCTATAGACATCTTCATCTATCTTCGATCTCTTACGCCACCATCACCCATCATTTGGTATTTAATTACTCTTTCGGAATCACTTGTGTGTGTTAGTACAATAAAAGTAAATTGAAAATAGATTCTCACTCCCTCACAATCGTAGTGCCTATCTGCAGGATTTTGTGTAGTCTTTACTTAGAGTTAGGATTTATTTAGGATTTACTGCGACATATCAGTTATAGTTCTAAAGGCTTGTGCCCCTGAGTTGTAGTAGTAAATGTGTAGTTGGATGATAGGGTAGTGGAAGTTTTTTCACTGCCACTGCACGGTAAAAATCTTATTGTGTTTGTTGCTAATTTCAAGGAATGGGTTTTAGCGTGTTTAACAATATTTTATCAAAGTATACACTCTGCATTAAATGCGATTTAAATGTAATGAATTGATTAGGATAATATGAAAACATTTTACGTTATGTTCACATAATATTCCGTTATATTTTATTAAAAGATAATAATATTTTCAAATACCTGATTCTTATGCTATTTAAAGTGTTATATTATTGATTTAAAAATCTTATTTGCGATAAAGTTTGATAACATTAAAATATATAAACATATTCTATGTATGTAGAAAGTGTCTACACTAGGGTAAAGTCATTTAGTTATCAGGTAATTATAATTATTCTTATTTTTATTTGACTTATTTCAATGATCGTACAGTGCAGGGAAGGTATTTCTGTTTGGTGATAAAACTCTATCAAAAATACCACTACTATTATATTCTAATGTGTATCTCAATATTTTTATAGAAGGTTATGGAGCAAAAAAGCGTCCATAGTGCTGCTTCATGTGCATAAGTGAACTTTACTAATCCTCGACATATTATTTTCTTAGACATACAGGTTCCTTACAAAGTTCTCAAACTTTATATCACGATCCGAAATCGCCGTTGTCACAAAGGTAGATTAATTGGCCATAAATGGGGGACATTAGGGTCTTACTGTCTTTTTTCTATTAGTATACCCGTATTCTTAACAACACATAATTACTTATTGCTCTACTCTCGATATGTGGCCACACATCAATTTCGCTACATAAAATCGTTTTTATACTTTTAGCTAGACATCAAATCCATATTATTACTAAAGTTACAATAACTACAGATACTGAATTATAAGATAAGTTTATTTTCTAATTGAGTCACTTTAAATTACATAACAAATATGTAATTGAAAATACATATGGACTGCTGTCCGTTGCTCTGTACGTCGGTGAGTCTTCTTGTTTAATAGAAACATGTATTTGAAGGAGGATCCCTATTGCTTTTGTTATTTAACTTAACGTTTAAAAATTTTAATGAAAATTGATCAGATTCTCTGCTTTTTTCCTTTAAAAATAATGGTCACTAATAATATTAATTCATAATCATAAGCGTGTAAGGTGTGCACATTTGGATTTAACAAATATTAGTTAAATTTATATTTTAATTCTTTGCAGCACTTTGGGCACGACTTTAAGTCAACCGATACCTGACTCAGATCCTCAAATTCTTTGCGGGGAGTATCCTCCATGTGAACCCTGCGAGCCTCCGTGTAATCCTTGTGATCCATGCTCACCTCCGTGTTCTGATGATAATGAAGTCAAAAAGATTGGTCCTTGCAATCCTTCTGAGCCATCTGTTAAATATTTGTATCGTCAGGCACCTCAGGGTAAGAATAATATATTTACATACAAACTAAATCATTTTAAAATAATCTAAACTCAATTAAATAATTGAATTCATTATTAAGTAATTTATCCTATAAAAATTAAAACTTAATAATTTACAGGTTCAGTAGTCTTAAAGCCTGGTCAAATTCGGTTTCGGGCACCTACATCAATAATTGTACGACCAGGAGCTATCCGTCTGCCAACACCACTTGCTATCTGGGTAAAACCACCACCAGTTCAACCAGCTGCCCCGGCTCCAATATACGTGGAACCAGACCCAGTGCAACCGCCTACCCCAGTACCAATTGAAGTTTGGCCTAAGCCCGTGTATCCACCCCGGCCAGCTCCGATTCTCGTTAAAACTGCACCGGTTCAACCACCAAAGCCTGCTCCTATTAAAGTATGAATATTTGATACCGCTTATACATCATTTAAATTATTTAAAACAGTTTTTATTTTTTTTATTTTATGTGAAATTAAAGTTCTCCGTTTGAATGCTAATAAAACTAAGGTTCTGGTATTTGAAAAGGACGAAGAGAGAACGAAATGTGAAATATGGGTAAATCAGGAACGACTAGAACAGGTAAATGAAATTGTATACTTGGGGGAGTGCTTTCAGACAGGATGGAAGATGTGATTTAGATGTGGATAGGCGCGTCGCTGCCGGAAACAAAGTCAATAGTGCCCTGAATGCATTAGTCAAAAAGGCAAGGCGTGGTGAAGAGTGCATGCCTTGCAATACATAACGCAGTGTTGGTACCGACTTTGTTATATGGCAGCAAAACCCGGGTATGCCAGAAGAAGCATAAAAGCAAGTTGAATGCAGTGGAGATGCGATCTCTTCGTAAAATGTGTGGCGTTACCATAGCCGATCGAAAGCGAAACGAAGAGATTCGTAAAATGGCAGGATTGAAAGATGACCTTATCACAAAAATTGATAGGGGCGTACTCCAATGGTTTGGGCACGTTGAGCGAATGAGTGAAGACCGAATGGTGAGGAAAATATATAGAGCGAAAGTAAATATTAAAAGGTGTCGAGGTAGACTGAGACTAACTTTCGAAGACCATGTGAGCAAATTGGGAAGAGGGGAAGGTCAAGAGTACTCGGATACCTAGACGTGCATGTATGAAGAAGTTAATGAACCTGAAAGAAGCGAAAGAGGTATGTAAGGATCGTGACACTTGGCGATCTGTTCTCTCTGGCTACCCCGTTAGGGATTGTGCGTGAAGATAAGTAAGTTTTTATTGTTATAAATTAATATGCTTAATGCAATGTGAATGTTTATTATGTCACTCTTTGGTGACGAAGTATTTAATGATCAACTTTCAGGTACAGCCACCTCCAATACAGCCACCAGCACCGGAATTACTAGTTGTGACACCTCCCAGGATTACAGTACCGAGCTCACCCATCATCTGCTTCCAACCAAACCCTCCATCGCGCTTTAGGACTTCAGGGTGTGCAGTCGTTTCATTGTACCAGCCTCAACCACCATGTCCATCTCCATATGTTCCGTCATATGCTTAGAAAACTCTCAATCAAAATTACATGATAAAATTTAAATTAATTATTATGTATAATATATATGTATAAAATCTTTTATATAAGCTTCATTTACAATCCATGTGAGCGATTGAAATAAAGTGCGGGTATTGTCATAAATCACGGAATTTTGTTAAACTATCTTTCCCAACATTGATTTGAAAACGTTTGTATGATGTTTTCAATCACGAATCCACGTCTTATGCATTAAATTATATAGACAGGCCTGTGAAGTTTCTAGTAGCCCCTAGAAGTATTACTGCATTCAGTTAGGTGAGCAAAAACAGAAGTATGTTTAGTTGATTAAAAGTAATTTAACAGATTTTATCGCGTTTAATTTTGACCATGGGTGACCACGGACCATGGGTGCTGGAAAGCACCCGAAACGTCGGTAATTAAAAATCAATTAAAATCAAACGCGATAAAACCCGTAAAAATAATTTTAATCAATGTGTAGTGTTCGCGTAAATATAATAAATCTGTATATTTAGTTATTTATTATTAATGCATGATCGTGAGGGGTCGGCGAAAAAGAATACATCGCTCGAATCATCTGGCGGGTATCGTATGAGACTAGTATGTGAAATACCAAATCTCATTGCTTCACATAGATGGCGTTAAAATCATCACATAACATACATTTATCAGCAACAGGGTTTGAGTCCATGCTAAACGTACGGTACTGAGTACTGATGTCACCAATCTTCGAGACAAGTGTGGTAATTGTAAAAAAATCGTCTAACTGTAGTAGAAGACTGTATCCAGAAGTTACTGAGCGTTTAAAGTATAAAATTCTTAGTAAAATTTAAATTTAACAGAACTATCCGAGTTCTAAAAGTTATATATCGACTTTTTTTTAATAGTACCTTTAGAATTAGTTTACAATTCGAGAAAATAAAACGCGCAAAGGCCATCATTTTGAGATGAAATAAAGAAAAGAATTGTTAGCAATAATGGTGGTTAATATAGCAAATAGCGCCATATTATAGCGCGCTACCTATCTCTTCATAACGCATAGCGCGTGCTCACCATGACGCTATGACGCTATGACGCTTTGGCGCTATTCATATCAAGCGGCAATTAATTCTAGCAGCAGCGTTGTTGGGAGTAGACGTGTGACGCAAATTTAATCTAGCAACACGCTATTCATCATGTGCGAACTAATTTAGTGTTAGATGTTGTTTAGTTAGTGTATACTGTATAGTGATCGAAGGACACAGTTGTCTGCTACAAAAGAAGCCTAACTAATGTTTTAAATGTAAATAAAATATAGATACAAAAGTGTATATAATAGTGTTTGTAAATAGTTGATTTTAGTATATACAATCAATAAACTTTTAAATACACCTTTGATTTATAATTTATATTAAGGTTAAAATAACGTTTACATCAATTATAATAAAAAATGATTAATTTTATTTTGTTTCAAAAGTACAGTCTTTAAAAATATTTTTAGGATTATAAAAAGTCGTAAGCCTGAAAAGTATGAAAGAGAGTTCTTTAATTTTTCTTTAACACGTTATTATATTTTAATCTAAAATGCGACTTATTACGAAACAATGTTCTGATATAGCACGCGGTCTATCCAATGAACGAGATGTAATGTAGCGTGCTCCGAGATATAGCGTGCTGCTAAACTTAACGCGCTTGCCGACCTCCTACACACTTTTTTATAAATATTGCGCTATAGCATAGCTAGAAATTTCTAGTTTATAGTCTGTAGCGTGCTATTGATTTGTAGTCGTTTTGAACAACTTTAGTTAGCAAATATCTTATTGATAAGGGGGGGGGGGGACACTGCAAATTGCGACTATTTTAAATTTAATTTATATTGAATATATTAACAGCATACCTCTGATGTATGCTCCATAAAGTTTATAATAAAAAAATGGTTAAATACTTTATTTAGCCTAAACATAAACAAAAGATAAGGTTTTTATAGAGGTTCATCATCATCATCATTCATCATTACAGCCCTTCACAAGTCCACTGCTAAACATAGGCCTCCCCCAAGTAATGCTACAAAGCACGGTCCTGAGCCACCTGCATCCATCGACTTCCTGCATGTCTTACCAGGTCGTCACTCCATCTAGTGGGGGGTCGCCCTACGCTTTGTTTACCGGCACGAGGCTGCCACTCGAGAACCTTTCTTCCCCATCGGTTATCGGTTCTTCGAGCTATATGGCCGGCCCATTGCCACTTCAGCTTACTAATCCGTTGGGCTATGTCGGTCACTCTGGTTTTACTGCGGATATCCTCATTTCTGAGTCTATCACGCAGAGAAACTCCAAGCATAGCCCTCTCCATAGCTCGCTGAGCGACCTTAAGCGTCCTCATACCATCAGCAGTGAAGGACCACGTCTCAGATCCGTAAGTCATCACTGGCAACACGCACTAGTTGTACAATCTAGTTTTTAGAGATTGAGGTATACCTGACGAAAAGATATGTCGTAATTTCCCCGAACGCTGCCCAGCCGAGTTGAATCCGTCGATTGACCTCTCGGTCGAAGTTGGACTTACCTAGTCGGACTATTTGTCCCAGGTAAACGTACTCGTCAACAACTTCGAGCATAGTGCTCCCAACAACTACCGGCATAGGTGTAACATGGACATTAAACATGATCTTTGTTTTGTCCATGTTCATCTTAAGACCTATCCGTTGGGAGGCACTATTGAGGTCATTGAGCATAATGCTTAAGTCCTCCAGAGATTCTGCCATAATGACTATATCGTCGGCAAATCGAAGGTGAGTGATGTACTCGCCATTGATGTTAATACCGTATCCTTTCCAGTCCAGTAGCTTGAAAACGTCTTCCAACGCAGCGGTGAAGAGTTTCGGGGATATAACGTCACCCTGTCTTACACCTCTCTGCAGTTGGATAGGTTTCGAACTCTGGTTCTGTACTCGGATAGCCATCGTAGCCCTACTGTACAAACACTTCAGCACTTCGATGTACCGACAGTCAACTTGGCACCGCTGAAGGGACTGTAGCACCGCCCAAATTTCGACGGAATCAAAGGCTTTCTCATAGTCCACATATGCCAGGCAAAGTGGCAAATTGTACTCTTCGGTCTTCTGTACAATCTGCCGCAGGGTATGTATGTGGTCTATGGTACTGAAGCCTTTTCGGAAACCGGCTTGTTCGGGAGGCTGGAAGTCGTCGAGTCTGCGTGCAAGACGATTCGTAATGACTCTCGAAAATAGCATGTAGACGCGGCTCAGAAGGGAAATCGGTCTGTAGTTCTTCAAGAGAACGTTGTCGCCTTTCTTAAAGAACAAAACCACCGCGCTTCTGCTCCACGCCTCCGGAGTAGTGCCACCATGGAGGACGGAATTGAAGAGCTTCCGAAGGACTTCAAGTACCGGTTTTCCACCCGCTTTCAGAAGCTCCGCTGTAATTCCATCCTCGCCCGGGGCCTTGCCGTTTTTAAGGTGGTGGAGAGCCATTCTAATCTCGCTCAGACTGACGTCCGGGATATCATCGGAATAGTGTCGGATAAGACTTGCTCTTGGATCGTTACTCACACTTGCGTGTGGCTCCAACGATGATGTGTATAGCTGCCCATAGAACCTCTCAATCTCACTCAAAATCTCAGGTGTCCCGGAAACGATGTTGCCACACTCAGTCTTCAGCTTTGACAGTTGGCTCTTTCTGGCAGACAGATCTCTGGCAAAGACTTTGGAGCCCTGTTTCCGCTCGATCGCTTCTTTAATACGAGCAGTATTAAAGTTGCGTAAGTCTCGCCGCATGCATTTGGAGATCTGTCTGTTCAGTTGCCTGTATGCTGTCAAATCTGTTGACGATTGCAGCCTCATCTCCCGTCTAACAGCCATGAGATTAAGAGTGTGATCGGAGAGTTTT